CCGGGGTCGGACCTGTACACACTGACCACTGAGTCCCCTCAGGTAGCTGCGTCTGCGTCTGCGTCAGGTCAGCTGTCGGCCCCCTGCTCATGTCGCTCTCTGGCGCACGAGACCGTCCTCTGGCACCACCGACTTGGTCACCCGTCCGTGCAGCGCCTTCGTGCCATGCACAAACGGTACCTTGTCTCTGGTCTTCCCAGGGTTCTCCCTCCCCTCCCACCCTCGCCTGCTCCTCCCTGTCTTCCCTGTGTCGAGGGGCGGCAGCGCGCCGCTCCTCACTCCTCCTCGTTTCCCCCGACGACTGCTCCCTTGCAGACGCTCCACATGGACGTGTGGGGCCCAGCCCGCGTCCGTGGTCAGGGTCAGGAGAGGTACTTCCTGATAGTTGTTGACGACTACTCGCGCTACACCACGGTCTTCCCCTTGCGCACCAAGGGTGAGGTCCCTGATGTTTTGATCCCTTGGATCAGCGCTTCTCGTCTCCAGCTCAGCGAGCGTTTCCACTCGGACTTTCCTGTCCTGCGCTTGCACTCTGACAGAGGTGGTGAGTTCTCCTCCGACCTCTTGGCAGCCTACTGTGCGGAGCACGGCATCCGCCAGTCGTTCACGCTTCCGGCCTCTCCACAGCAGAATGGGGTTGCTGAGCGCCGCATTGGCTTGGTCATGGAGGTCACTCGTACCTCCTTCATCCATGCGGCTGCCCCCCACTTTCTGTGGCCGTTTGCAGTCCGATACGCTGCGCATCAGCTCAACCTCTGGCCCCGTGTCTCCGTTCCGGAGACTTCGCCGACACTGCGTTGGACAGGAGAGGTTGGCGATGCGTCACGCTTTCGGGTCTGGGGATCTCGAGCCTTTGTTCGCGATACGTCCGCGGACAAGCTCTCCTCCCGCGCTGTTCCTTGTGTCTTCCTTGGCTTTGTCCCGGACGCGTCTGGTTGGCAGTTTTACCACCCCACCTCGCGCCGTGTCCTGCCTTCTCAGGACGTCACTTTCGACGAGTCCGTCCCCTACTACCGCCTCTTCCCCTACCGCACTGCCCCGCTTCCCCCCCCGCCTCTCTTCCTCGCGCCAGGTGCTGCTGTGGTAGACCCCCTCCCCCCTCAGGGTGCCGCTCCCTCAGGTGTGTCCCAGGTAGACCCGGTTGAGCCTGTCGAGGTAGCTGTCGACTCTCGTCCTGCTAGGGGTGCTGAGCCTGAGGGTGCTGAGCCTGAGTGTGCGGAGCCTGGGGGTGCGGAGCCTGGGGGTGCGGAGCCTGGGGTTGCGGAGTCTGGGGGTGCGGAGCCTGGGGTTGCAGAGTCTGGGGGTGCTGAGCCTGGGGGTGCGGAGCCTGGGGGTGCTGAGCCTGGGGGTGCGGAGCCTGCGGGTGCTGAGTCTGGGGGTGCTGAGTCTGGAGGTACTGAGCCTGGGAGTGCTACACCTGGAGGAGCTCTCTCCTCACAGCAGCTGCGTGAGTGGTACTTACAATACTGCAGCCTCAGGAGAGGTGCTTCTGGAGCCAGGAGTACTGCTGGAGCTGGTGCTAGTGCTTCCCCTCCTAGGCGGGAGCTGCCCTCTCCCCAGCGGCTCCGAGAGTGGTACGCACGGCGCTGCAGTCTTCGGAGTGGCGCTCCTAGTGTCGCGGACCCAGCTGCTGGAGGTTCTGCTGCTGGCGGTGCTTCTGGCGCTGCTGGAGGTGCTGCTGGTGCTGGAGCTGCTGACGCTACTGGAGGTGCTGCTTGTGCTGGTGGTACTGCTGGTGCTGCTGGAGCTGCTGGAGGTGCTGCTGGTGCTGGGGCTACTGGAGCTGCTGGAGGTGCTGCTTCTTCTGGAGGTGCTGCTGGTGCTGCGGACTCTGGAGTTGGAGCTGCTGCTGGTGCTGAGGACCCGGGCGTTGGAGCTGCTGCTGGTGCTGCGGACCCGGGCGTTGGAGTTGCTGCTGGTGCTGCGGACCCTGGAGTCGGAGCTGCTGCTGGTGCTGAGGACCCTGGAGGTGGAGCTGCTGCTGGTGCTGAGGACCCTGGCGCTGGTGTCTCTGCTGGTTCTGGAGACGCTACGCGGCCGCGGCCGTACTTCGTTCCGCTCCTTCAGCAGGTTCTTGGTCAGCTTCCTCCTCCTTGTCCTCCTCCCTCCTTAGAGTGTCCTCCGTCTGTCCAGTCACAGTCACAGTTACCGTCTGCCTCCCGTCTCCCTGGTCCTTCTCCTTACACTGGTCCGACTGGAGGTCTTACGGAGCGTCGTGAGCCTGAGTCTCGTCCTGCGTCGCCTGAGTCTCGTCGAGCGTCGCCTGTTCGTGCTGCTCACACTGGTCGTCGTGTCCCGCGTCAGCGTCCTCCTGCTGTCCCAGGCACTCACCAGATGGCGCTTCGTCCTTCCACTGCTCCCCAGCGTGTCCCTCTCCCGGCTCCTCCTGCGTCCTCTCTTCCTGCTCTTGCTGACCCTGAGTCTGACTCTCTTTGTGCTGCCAGTCCTACTGTCACGCGTCTCCTGGCTACTGTTGTCACTGACCCTTCCTTTGAGTCCACTGCTGCGTCTGCCTTAGTTGCCGAGCTTGTCGACTTTGCTGCCACTTGTCGTCTCGACTACGCCGCTAGCCTAGTTGCTGAGTCTGAGTCTGTCTGTCCTCCGTCCGTCGGGGGTGAGTGTGCTCTTGGCACGGACGTCCTTGAGGACAGGCAGGAGGAGTTTGAGTGCTTTGCCGCTGCTTTACCTCATCTCGTGTCCATGCTAGTTGCCCCTGAGGGAGACCCGGATGCACCAGACATCCCGACTCCGCGCTCTTACGCAGAGGCGATAGAGGGTCCCTACTCCTCTCAGTGGCAGACAGCCATGGACACAGAGATGGCTTCCTGGAAGTCCATAGGCACCTACGTCGACGAGGTTCCCCCACCTGGGGCGAACATCGTCAGTGGCATGTGGATTTTCAGGGTGAAGCGGCCGCCGGGTTCTCCGCCTGTCTTCAAGGCGCGTTACGTTGCACGAGGCTTCAGTCAGCGAGAGGGAGTTGACTTCTTCCAGACCTTCTCCCCGACCCCGAAGATGACCACTCTTCGGGTACTGCTGCACGTCGCCGCTCAGCGTGACTACGAGCTCCACTCTCTTGACTTCAGCACTGCTTTCCTACAGGGCAGCCTGCACGAGGAGATCTGGCTGCGCCGCCCACCTGGCTTCACTGGGTCGTTCCCTCCTGGTACCCAGTGGAGCCTCCGGCGGCCAGTCTACGGTCTCCGACAGGCGCCACGTGAGTGGCACGACACACTGAGGACTACACTTGCGGCTCTTGGGTTCGCTCCTTCTACTGCTGACCCGTCGCTGTTTCTACGCACCGACACCTCGCTGCCGCCGTTCTACATCCTCGTGTACGTCGACGACTTGGTCTTTGCCACTGCAGACACTGCGGCACTCGCCCACGTGAAGTCGGAGCTGCAGAAGAGACACACGTGCACAGACCTGGGTGAAATGACAAGCTATCTTGGCTTCCGGATCACCCGGGACAGAGCACGGCGCACCATCACCTTGACTCAGTCACACATGGTGCAGCAGGTCCTTCAGCGCTTCCGCTTCACGTACTCCTCGCCTCAGCCCACTCCTCTGCCTACCGGTCACTCGCTCTCAGCTCTGCCTTCGGATGAGTCCGTAGAGCCGAGTGGCCCGTATCCAGAGCTTGTGGGCTGCCTCATGTACCTGATGACCTGCACTCGACCTGACCTTGCATACCCTCTTAGCATCCTTGCACGCTATGTCGCTCCTGGCCGTCACCGGAAGGAGCACATGGATGCCGCCAAGAGGGTGTTGCGCTACTTGTGCAGTACGTCGGGCATGGGGCTAGTGCTTGGAGGACGAGACCGAGTTGTACTCACTGGGCACTCAGACGCGTCTTGGGCGGACGACCAGGCTACTGAGCGGTCGTCTCAGGGTTACACCTTCAGCCTTGGCTCTGGTTCAGTTTCTTGGCGTTCTACACGCTCGTCTTCTGTTCTCAGCTCCAGTTGTGAGGCTGAGATCTACGCCACAGCCATGGCTGCACAGGAGTTACGCTGGCTCACCTACCTGCTGACCGACTTGGGAGAGCGTCCTCGTTCTCCTCCAGTGCTGTACGTCGACAACAAGGCTGCCATTGCCTTGTGTCAGGAGCACAGACTGGAGCACAGAACGAAGCATGTCGCTCTGCGCTACTTCCTTGCTCGAGAGCTGCAGCAGCGCGGTCAGCTTCGTCTGCGTTACGTGGCCACTCGGGCCAACACTGCTGATGTGTTCACCAAGGCGCTTCAGCCTTGTGACCATCAGCGCTTCTGTACTGTTCTAGGCCTCGTGCCTACTGGGCCTCACTTGCTTAGTTCTTGACTCTGCTTGTACTGTGATCTCTATATATATACCTGCATGTTTACTCTTGCTAGGTTGTGATCACTGTATCTCTTGTTATACTATCAACCTGCATGTGAACTGGTCTTGTGACCACTTGCTTGTGCTCAGAATTTGTGTGGTTTCCTTGAGATCCACCCTGAGCTTGCTTTGCTTTGCTTTGACTGGTCTTGTGACCATCTGGTTGTCTCCCACTTAGCCTATGGGGGTGTGTCAAACATTATATGTTTATATTGTGTAGGCTATAGTGGGTTTAGCCTTAGGGGGTACAGCTTTGTTAGGGTTTCCTACTTGTATCCCCCTCCTACCTAGTTTCATTCATTCTCGTTCTATTCTAGATTCTAACACAAAAATCTGGTTTCATCTGAACCACAATGGAGGTCATTTAGAATTAACTCACTTGCATGCATAGAGAAACTAAACATCTGTGTTTACAGACATTTATTAAAACGAAAGTAACTACCAGAGCTAGCAAACGAATAAATCAAATGGTTGAAACAGGCTGAAGAATCCATGTGTAGTTAGACAAGAAATCGGCCTTTCCTCCCAAGTACCTCTCCTATGAGCGCGAAACCAGTTTCTAAGGCAGCGGCGAAGCCGGAGGAAACCATGTGCAATTCCAAGAGTATGCATAGCTGGCATAAATACACCTCCGGGGGGATTCATTCCAGCACGAGCTGGGAGCCGCGCACGATCCAGTGCCGCAGGGAAGCCGCGAGCAGCACATGCACTGCGCGAAGCACTTGTTGTAATTCGTCGTCTGCTGCGTCGACGTCCCCCCCAGCGACACCTTCACATCTGTGCACGAGTTCTGACACGTGGTCTTCTGGAAATCGCAGCACTTTCCGGGAGCGTCGCCAAGCATAGCCGAGCAATCCGAATCCTGGGGCTTCCAATTAGGGTACGGGCAAACCGACCAGGTGCAACCATACCCGGAGAGCGGCGCAAGCCCGGTTCGGCCAAAGCAAGCGGCGTTGCAGCCGACGCAGGCGTCATTCTGGGCTAGCGGCACGGCGTAGTTACAAACCGCATCGCAATACGAAGGGTACGTCACATAGTCAGCACCGCAGACGGGCAGGGAGATGGCACAGCCGCAGTCGATAATCCCCACGCGGGAATCGCATGGTATGATCAGGTTCATCCCCACAACGAGAGCCGCAGTCTCAAGAATGTTGTTTTCCGCGGCGATGGAGGCAGGGGAGACGGAGGCTGGGATGCAGCGGTTGACGAAACTGGAGGAGATGAGAGCGAGCGTGTCGCCATCTTTAACCTTGTAGAGAGAGTAGCTTGTGTTGGAGGAGGCAACGAGAGTGGTGAGGATGGGCGAGCTGATGCAGACCTTCTGGCCCACTTGCAGGTACGGAGCTTGGCACTGGTGGGGTGAGGCAGGAGGGAGAGCGGGATGGAGGAGGGGAAGATGAGAGAGAGAGAATGACCGGTGAGATCGAGCTGATGGTACGGGGTGAGTAGCAAATGCTGGAGATGGCAAAGACAAAGTCGGAAGCCCGTCTTCGAAGGTTGGGGCGTAATCTTATGCAGAGCGAGGGGTAAGGTTGATGGCAAGGGGGAGAATATTCTGGCTTACCCTGATGCCGGGGTTGATGGCGAGGAAGGTCTGCTCTGTGAGGTTGGCTGCGAGACTAATGAGACGACTCAAAATTCACCTCAGGGAGGGGTAGAAGTTCTCGCTTACCCTGATGCCGGGGTTGATAGCGAGGAAGGTCTGTTCCGTGAGGTTGGCTGCGTTCCAGATGTTGGGGCAGTTGTCGCCCTGCAGCACTGTGTACGTTGCCGTGCAGTTCACCGTGGTCTGAAGGAGGGAGGGAAGGAGGGAGAGAGAGAAAGAAGGGGAGGTAAGTGGGCTGCAGTAGCGCGTGTGGGTGGGGGAGGTGGTGTAAGAAAGAGCTAAGGTGGTGGTGAAACAAGAGACTTGCAGCAGACAAAGACGGGCCGAGAGACGGATCAACAGAGTGGGCAACAGAACAGACGGACAAAAACACTAGTGCGAGATACCAACTCACCTGAACAGTTTTAGAAGCCACGCAAAGGTAGGAGCCAATGGGAAGAGAGCCGGTGCAGGACAGTCCAGGATTCAACCTGTACATCCGAAGCAACAGATAAAGATCACAAGACAGGGAGTAGAAATGAGACTTGCTGCTGCAAGTGTATTCAGACAATTCTTGCAAATACATGGATGTCTCAAAGAGGGGGAATGCCGGGAGGAGAGGAGGGAGGGGGGGAGGGATTCACCGAGTGAACGAGGAGACTCACCCAGTGAAGGTAGCGAGGGAGATGAGATACTTGGTGGCAACAGACGAGCAAGTATCGCCAGCTACGGAGGAATACGTCTGCCCGCACTGTGGCACCGTCACGCTGGTACCCGCAGTCGTTACACTCGTGCAAATCGCCTGGGATGGGTACACCGGGCGGCCGGTTGTGCACACGAGTGGGTTGGCCCTCTGGAGGTTCGCCAAGCTGCCCGCAAAGAAGGTATTGGCGAGGGATGTGCAGTTGTCAGCGGGAGTGACGATGTAGGTTGCGGTGCAGATGGGCGAGGAGGATGTGCTTGTATTGGAGACGGTAATAGCAAATCCTGGGGGGAAGAGATGGAGGAGGGTGGGGGAGCAGGGTGGAGGGGAGGGGGTGGAGAAATGGCAAGGACAAATGATGAGTGGGGTGCAGAGGAGGAAAGCAGGGCAAACTAACGAAAGGAAAAAGAGGAAAAAAATAACACATCAATGAATGGCACAACTCACCAGGAGGGATGTACAGAAGCGAGCAGTTGAGAAAGGGGTTCAACAATGAGAGGGTGGTGGTGGTGATGCCAAACGCTGCTGCCACAACCTGAGGAACCGCGAGCGGGGGAGAGGAGGGAGAACTTCAAAATGAAAACGGGCAACAAGAATGAGCATATGGGCTCAGAAACGGACAGGAAGGAAGGAAGCTGAAACTGACATGCAAAGACAGAACAGACGAACTTTGCATTGTTTGTAGCAAGCATGAGATAAAACGTACAAGAGCAGGAGTCGCCAGGAACAGTGGTGTTTGTGATTGTAGAGGTTGTGACGACACAGAGAGTGAACTTACAGAGCAGGAGTCGCCAGGAACAGTGGTGTATGTGATTGTGGAGGTAGACGTGGTTGCCACTCCCACGCACGTCTGCGTGCCATCAGATGCTGCTCCGATGGCATAGCCCTGAGGGAGAAAGGGGTGAGGAAAAGAGGAGGAAGGGGAAGAGGAGGGGGGGGTGGTGAAGAGGAAGGGAAGGGGAAGTAAGGAACGAGGAAGAGGAAGGGTAAGAAGAGGAATAGACGAAGACGAGGAAGACATGTCAATTCTAGGATAGAGAGGGTCAACAACGACTAAGGAGAAATCTAGAAGAAGAAATGAAAGGGACGTACGACAGGGCAAGAGCAGGCGTAGGAGCCATCGCCGGGGTTGCTGCAGGAGCCAGCGCCGCAGGGGTTGATGTTCGTCCGGTTGCACGGAAACCGAGGCACGCATTTCGCCGTCGGCACTCCCAAGACTTCGACAAAGTTTGTCAGCCCGCTGCAGTCGCACCGTGCGATTCCGTTTTTGGTGTAACAGGTGCCGCGTCCGCATGGGTTGATGAGTTTCTGGCATGCATCGGAGTTGATGGTGAAAGCCTTGTTCCACCACTTTCCGTCATCACCGTCGTCTTTTCGGTTACCTGGGCCGTTGGAAATCTTGACGGGCTGAGGACCGAAGGGGTAGTACACCGGGTACATGGCCGGAATTCTGAAAGGAATACAGAATCAACTCATCAATCAAGGATCTAGGTTGCATAAACTGCATAAGAGAAAACAAGGAAAAGGCATGGAGTCGTGCGGATGCTTACGCGTGAAGCCCGCATTTCCCGCGAATGTCTGGCGACATGGCGAGATACATGTAACCGTCGTCGCCCCACGTCTCGAACCACGAATTCTTGATGATCCAGTAACTGCCGTTGGTGGTACCCAAATAATTGTAACCAACGACGACAACCGCATGATTGATATCCGTCGTGCACAGCCCGTCGTAGATCTTCACCATGTCACGCGAGGAGTACATCTGCGAATCAACATCGATAAAAGAACTCGATCAGTAACCGCGACCGGAAAATAAAATGTAAAAAGCATATTCATAAAATGCGATGAATGAAAATCACAATCCAATCACCTGGAAGTCCTTTGACGAGCCGCTAAGGAAGGCGACCACGGGCTGCATGCTGACGGCTTTCATTAGAGCCATCGCGTTGTAAGGCGGCACGAGCTCCCAGCCGGTAATCTGCGCGCAACGTAGAGGAAGAGCATTCGCGATGAACACAAGGATTAAGCATCTGAGAAGCAGGTCCGAGAATCGACGTAGACACGGCACGGCTAGTCGCTCGATCGAAAAAACTTGCGACGCGAACGACGACAAAGGCGTCGCTCACCTGAGCGGCGTTAGGGACCGACGCGTTGATGCTGCACAGCTGGTTGTCCTGCGCGATATAGCTGTAGTCGTCGACCGACTGGAGCCCGCCGTTGAAGAGCACGTAGGAGTAGGCCCAGTCAGGCCAGCCGCCTTGGCAGCACTGCTTCGTCGCGCAGTCGCACACCTGCTGCGGCGACAGCACTAAGGGGGTGCTCCTGTTGGTGATCGCCCACATCATGGAGATGGAATCGACGGCTGCGATCACCCAGCAGCTCGCGCACTGGAAGGAACGAAACAGGAGGATGGAAAGACGGTGTACACGGCCGTTTAGAAAAAGACTGGAGTCTTGAAAGGTAGCAATACTATTTTGCGGGAACGACGCGCCGCGCGTTTTGACGCGTCTCAAAACTGTAAATGGGAGGGTGGAGTGGTAGAACGGGTATGAAGCGGGAATAACGAGGAAATCAAGTGTTTTGAAAACAGAAATCCCCGCGAATTTGAGCGCCGAAAAAAAAAAAAAAAAAAAAAAAAAAAAACCTACACTACCGCACCTGGAACTGACGCTGGATTGGCGAAATGTATTTCGTCAGTCGCCAGTCGACGGTGGCGTTGGGAACGACGGAATCGTAGCGGAAGAACGTCCCATTGACGTCCGCCATGCTCGGACCGGAGTTAAGAGGCGGCGGGTTGAGGCCAAGCTGCTTCCCCCTTCCGCCATCTTTAAGCCCGCGACGCCGCGAATGCGGCCCCCCAGCCGCATCTTCCGCATCGCCGTCGCCATTCTCGTCGACGTCATCGACGTCGTCGTTTCGTCGTAGCATTGCTCGGCCGAGTCTCGCTGCGTTTAGCTGCATGCGCTCCTCGGCGGACATTGTAAGGGTTTCCATCATAGAGATTTCGTATTGCGTGCGGCTTTCGGCGACCTCTGTCGCGGCGAGAGCGGCGCTGCATGCGGTGATTGCGAGAAGTAGTAGCACTCTAGGTGATACTGTTACGTGCCGCTGACTCGCCAGACGAGCCATCGCGATCAAGAGTTTAGATAAGGACGGTTGGGTACTCAGGAAAGTGAGTGGGGCTGAGGGATGTGACAAATGTACACACAGGGCTCCTATGAAGGACGGACTAACTAAACGGAAGTGTGAAAGATGAGAAGTACGGTCTGAAAGGGACGACGTGGATAAAATAGCCGACAAGAGAAGCACATGGGAATGGGTGAGGTGAGGAGACAAGCAAAGCGTCACCTGGCCTAAGGTGAGGTTGTTAGGATGGTCTGTCTGATGCGTTGACTCACTGCCAAAATGCCCTTGTCTTTCCTACCCGAACTCGTACCAATGTTTGCGAGTTTGTCACACGTACCGTACTCGACACCAACAAATTGTCACGGAAACCGCACAAAACGCTATCCATTGACAAGGACCATCCGCCCCACAGAAAATCTCCCAAGGTGCATCAGCCTGGGTCGAAGCTGGAAGGGCATTCGAATTCGAACAAGGCATGTGTGGTGGTGGTGGTTGTCTGCTCTGTGGTTGGCTGGTTGGGGGGGTTGGTGCGATGTGATTTGGGAGGAAACCTGAGGGAACGCTGTGCTGGCGGTGGTGGGTGGTTGGTTGCTCCTCCCCTTTCCACGCGCACCCCCCCCTTCCCCCCCTCGACTTGTCGGGCAAGGGGGAGGTTTGTTGTTGGTTGCCTGAAGTCTGTGGCATGTTCCCTCCCGGCACGACACTGACAGGGTATTTGTGACGTGGCTTGGTTTGCAATGCGACGAAAGAAGTGCCGTTATAAATGATTTCCCGTAACCCTAATTAGACACATGGGAGACACATGTATACACAGGAGAACTTCTAGAACAGCTAACTCCCCTACCTGCCTATCCTAAACCCAAGACTTGCATCACTTTTTTGCCTTTGAGAGTAAGTTACCCTTCCAGTCATGACTTCATGCTCCAAATCTGTACCCCTTTGCATGGGTAGTTTCATACCAAAAGCTATGCCTCAACAACGTTGAGCCTCCCAGTTTTCACCTCTTGCTCGTGTGATAAGGAAATTTTTGTGATTCCTTACTGGGTCACACTGTACGCGTACAACTCCAGTTTTCGGAAACCAGGCTCGATCCGACGACCTCGCCTTCCAAACCACCATTGCGTCGCCTTCGGGTTTCCCAACCCCGAACCTGCACCCAACCATCTCGCGACCCCGCAACCGTCGCTTAGCTAGCTCTGCTATATTAGTCCTAGGCTTCATTATTTGCTCGACGTTGTAATCACTTCCGCGTTATTGCATTATGCACACTCTTCTTTCGTACAACTCATAACACTTGGTATCATAGCTACTTTCCTAGGTTACCCTCGCGTTTCCGAGGTAGTTTAGTGGAGTGGTGGGATAAACTTGGTGGGCTGCAAAGCGGCCGGCCTGTGAAATAGATACGATCATTTCACTCCGACTACGATAGCGTTTGCGCCTTCATCAAAGTCAGAAAAATCGCTAACCACCCCCTGCCCGTCCGACGAAGCTTGAGAAACATGAAAGCAGGCCGAGTTTGACGCGTTCCTGCAGGATTTCCGAACGATGCAGGCCAACATGCAAGCGATGACCGTGGAAATGGAGCGCCTGAGGAAGGAAAACATCTCAGAAACAAGAAGTGATTGAAATATGAAAGATGGAGTACAAGTATGAAACTCTAGAGTTGTGTACCCCCTAAAGGCTAACCCACTATAGCCTACACAGCAATGACATATAGATAATGTTTGACACACCCCCATAGGCAAAGTGGGGGAGAGCAAGGGGTCACAAGACCAGTCAAGAAAGGCAAAGCAAGCTCAGGGTGGATCACAACGTCACCACACACTCTGAGCACAAGCAAAGGGCCACAGGGCCAGTTCAAATGCAGAGACATATATGCAACACAAACAGCAAGGTGATCTCAACCTAGCAAAGCAAACAGGCAGGTATATATGTATATAGAGATCACAGTACAGACAAAGCCTACAGTAAGTGAGGAAAAGTGGGCACAAGCCCCAGTGTAGTGCAGAAGCGCTGATGATCACCAGGCTGAAGTGCCTTGGTGAATATATCAGCGGTGTTGGCCCGAGTGGCCACGTAACGCAGACGAAGCTGACCGCGCTGCTGCAGCTCTCGAGCCAGGAAGTAACGGAGAGCGATGTGCTTCGTTCTGTGCTCCACTCTGTGCTCCTCACACAAGGCAATGGCAGCCTTGTTGTCGACGTACAGCACTGGAGGAGAACTAGGCCGCTCTCCCAAGTCGGTCAGCAGGTAGGTCAGCCAGCGTAGCTCCTGTGCAGCCATGGCTGTGGCGTAGATCTCAGCCTCACAACTGGAGCTGAGAACTGAAGACGAGCGAGTAGAACGCCAAGAAACTGAACCAGAGCCAAGGCTGAAGGTGTAACCCTGTGACGACCGCTGAGTAGCCTGGTCGTCAACCCAAGAAGCGTCTGAGTGCCCAGTGAGAACAACTGAGCGCCTCCCTCCAAGCACGAGCCCCATGCCTGACGTACTGCACAAGTAACGCAGTACCCTCTTAGCAGCATCCATGTGCACCTTTCGGTGCCGACCAGGAGCCACGTAGCGAGCCAGAAGGCCAAGAGGGTACGCGAGGTCAGGACGAGTGCAAGTCATCAGGTACATGAGGCAACCAACTAGCTCTGGGTAAGGACCACTCGGCTCTACGGACTCGTCCGAAGGTGGAGCTGAGAGCGAGTGACCTGTAGCCAGAGGAGTGGTCTGTGCCGAGGACCAGGTGAAGCCGAAGCGCTGAAGGACCTGCTGCACCATGTGTGACTGAGTCAGTGTGATGGTGCGGCGTGCTTTGTCCCGGGTGATCCGCAAGCCAAGATAGCTTGTCAGCTCACCCAGGTCTGTGCACGTGTGTCTCTTCTGCAGCTCCGACTTCACGTGGGCGAGAGCCTCAGTGTCAGCAGTGGCAAAGACCAAGTCGTCGACGTACACGAGGATGTAGAACGGCGGCAGTGAAGTGTCGGTGCGTAGAAACAGCGACGGGTCGGCAGTAGAAGACGAGAACCCAAGAGCCGCAAGTGTAGTCCTCAGTGTGTCGTGCCACTCATGTGGAGCCTGGCGGAGACCGTAGACCGGCCGCCGGAGGCTCCACTGGGTACCAGGAGGAAACGACCCAGTGAAGCCAGGAGGGCGGCGCAGCCAGATCTCCTCGTGCAGGCTGCCCTGCAAGAAAGCTGTGCTGAAGTCAAGAGAGTGAAGCTCGTAGTCACGCTGAGCGGCAACGTGCAGTAGCACCCGAAGAGTGGTCATCTTCGGGGTCGGGGAGAAGGTCTGAAAGAAGTCTACTCCCTCTCGCTGACTGAAGCCTCGAGCAACGTACCGAGCCTTGAAGACAGGCGGAGAACCTGGCGGCCGCTTCACCCTGAAAATCCACATGCCACTGACGATGTTCGCCCAGGAGGGGGAACCTCGTCGACGTAAGTGCCAGTGGACTTCCAGGATGCCATCTCTGCATCCATGGCTGTCTGCCACTGAGAGGAGTACTCACCCGCGATCGCCTCAGTGTAAGAGCGCGGGGTCAAGATGTCTGGAGCATCCGAGTCTCCCTCAGGTGCAATCAGCATGGACACGAGATGAGGTACAGCGGCGGCAAAGCACTCAAACTCCTCCTGCCAGTCCTCAAGGACGTCCGTGCCAAGAGCACACTCACCCCCAACGGACGGAGGACAGACAGACTCAGACTCAGCAACAAGACTGGAAGCGTAGTCTAGTCTACAGTGAGCAGCAAAGTCGACAAGCTCAGTAACTAAGGCAGACGCAGCAGCTGACTCAAAGGAAGGGTCAGTGACAACTGTGGCCAGGAGACGCGGGACAGCAAGGGCAGGAAGGGAGGACGCAGGAGGAGAAGGCAGAGGGACACGCTGTGGAGCAGTGGAAAGACGAAGCAACATCTGGTGAGTGCTGGGGACAGCAGGAGGACGCTGACGCGGGACACGACGACCAGTGCGAGCAGCACGAACAGGTGACGCAGAACTAGACTCAGGCGACACAGGACGAGACTCAGGCTCACGACGCTCCGTAAGACCTCCTGTCGGACCAGTGTAGGGAGAAGGACCAGGAAGTGGCGAGGTGGGCTGTAACTGTGACTGCAACTGGACAGGCGAAAGACACTCTAAGGAGGGAGCAGGACAAGGAGGAGGCGGCTGACCAAGAACCTACTGAAGGAGCGGAACGAAGTACGGCCGCGGCCGTGACGTGCCCCCAGAACCAGCAGAGACAGCACCAGAACCACCAGCAGCAGCTCCAGCTCCCGCAGCACCAGTAGCACCTCCAGCTCCAGCTCCCGCAGCTCCAGCTCCCGCAGCACCAGTAGCACCAGGAGTGTCAACTCCAGTACCTCCAGTAGCACCAGCTCCAGCAGCACCACCAGTCCCAGGACCAGGAGCACCACTAGGAGCTCCAGCAGCTCCAGTACCTCCAGCAGCACCAGCAGCACCGCCAGCTACTCCAGGACCTCCAGGAGCACCAGCAGTACCTCCAGCAGGACCAGTACTAGCAGCACCTCCAGCAGCTCCAGTACCTCCAGCAGCACCAGCAGCACCGCCAGCAACACCAGGACCTCCAGCAGCACCAGTTCTAGCAGCACCTCCAGTAGTAGCCGGGCCCCCAGCAGGCGGCAACTCAAAACT